GACAATGAGTCGTCTCATCGTTCAGTGAAGTCATGAATAATGTCACAATATCACGCCAGTGACTATTAATTTCAATCAAACATCAGCACACAAAGTCCAACGCAAGGCATGAGATAAACATTAGAATGAAGTAGACTAAAGCTGCAATAAAATGCCAAAAATGGAATGCTCAAAAACATCGTGTACATATGCATATATATATATATGTGTATACATGACATGACATATACATACACGCGCACATACGTGCACATATCTATGCATATATCTGTACACACACATGTCAAGTATATGCGAAACTGTCACCTGGGGGAAGATGGATGGATGGCTTTATGAGCTCCGAAGGGAATAGCACCTTTGACCACTACGCGATACGAAGAAAATTCGCATCTGAACGCAACCCTGACAATTTTGAAGGAGATTTTCCTATCCGAAATGATCTCACAAGGTGTCCATATCTTTTAATCATTAGATAACTGGCGGTCGTAGAGAGGTTCGACACAGGTTGACTTCTAACTGGAATGACGTACTCATTCTGTCCTTCAAGAAACTTTTTGCTGAATCTCTGCGAACATTCGCGAAACTTTCATTACCATGGCGATGTGACAAATCACGGGGGCGGTCATTAGTAATGAAAAAACAGATGCGGAAGAAAATGTCACTCTATTAACAACTTCTCAGCTCGATGGACCATCCATGGGCATAATTATCCAGTTTAGTCGCAAAATAGATAGTCGGGAATTTCATTTTCAGGAGTTAAACCACTACAATGCCAACAAGCCATCACTACAATTTCCCGTAACTATGCGCAATATGAAACTAATTTTCCGCTTGTACGAGATGCAAGTCAATTATGATGCTGATGCGACCTGGACAACTGACAAATGAAGAATGAACTAAACAAACAGACGTACTTTTCATTCTGATTTCATAAAGTGCACAAATACTTTACGGAATTTCAATGATGAAAGAAAAAAAAGCCTTTTAGTGAGATGTAAATTATAGAAAACGAAGCGTTCGGCTTCAATCATTCCCTGAGAAAGACGTCATGCATTTGACGCTAATAATGACAGCTCCAAAGATGATTAGATACATATCCGGCTTTCTGCAACGACTTTCACTAATCTATGATCTACCAAGCTCATCTTTTTTTTTTCCTCCCAGATCAATCTGACATGAACATTTCGAGCACGCAAGGATTGCAAGCTTATCGCGCTCTTGGCGAGGGATCGAACCAGCGATCAATAGGGCACACATTGCATTATACGTTTGGAAGCCGCGCTACGCGAGCGCCCCATTGAGGTTACTACTTCCTCCATCTATTCATAGATTTGATTCAACGACTAAATACGACCCAAGCATGGGAATAATCTAACTCTAATGGTCTTCGATTATTAGAAGAAAAAATTATCTTTCTCGCCAATGGCGAATGGTCCATCTCATCGAAACCCTCACCGCCCTAACCAATAGCGCAAGAAGTCCTTGACAATGTAGCCTTTTCGAAAACGAGTCAATCCCAGCGCTGGTAGTCATCACATTGCAATCAATGTTGACAAATCAATTAGTAGCCACTTTTCGCGCCACGAACTAATTTTTCAAGATCATTCTTCGATTTAAACCATCGAAAAATTGCCTTGAAAACCCTTCAGGAGCCTTGAACAAAGCTGATAGAAGACGATTTGAAACGGCCGCTTTTGTGTAAAACGACACATGCCCTCCCGATAGAATTAGATGATTGTAGATCACCGAATTCCACTTCTCAAGTATCAAATCTACAACTGACTAAAGAACAGGTTCTTCTTAAGAGAAAGAAAAATTCTTTCTTATAAGAGAATATTTTCTGAAATTTCATAAAGTCATGTGACTGACTACTTCATTTCCGCCGAGAACCAAAAATCAGGCGGTGTTGTTTGCCGGCGATGAGACCACGAACACCTCGTGATCGTCCGTCCTCTTACTTACACTCAAGCATTCAATCAATCAATAAAAAACCGAGCTAAACTCGGGTATTGATTGATTACTAATTAGGCTATTATTGATTAAAAAATTCCGTTTTCACTAGAAAAATCAGAAATCGAGGAAAAATCCAATTGAAGCAAATAGAGCGGAATAATCAGGGATGATGTCAAGGGCGGCTGCTCACCTGACATTCACATGACCGTGAGAGAAGCAAACTGGTAAGAGACTAAGAGATGATGACGGTAACAAATAACAGCCACCAACACCGACCGACCGACCGACCGACCGACCGACCGACCGACCGAGTCGAGCGAATGGTTGGCAAGCAGTCAGTGGTGCTGCAGGTTGAAAGGCACTAAGCAAAGGCCCTGCCAGTCAGCGACCGAATCGATATGAAAAGCAGTGAGAGGCGCAGCATCACTGGCGCAGCAGAGCTGTCTGACTGAGTGAGAACTCCCACCCGCCGCCGAAAGGAGATCTCAACCGCTTCGTCCACCTCCTGCTCCTCCGTCACGGTTCGATCAGCTGACAATCACATCTGTCAAACTGGAGAGACATCGTCGTGTCCCATCAGATTTATCCCCCCTTTCAACAGTTAACGAAGAGCGTTCTATTCTCCAATGGATCGTGTACGTTCTCCACCTGACGTTATTTTGTTCAAAAATCCCAATCATCTAAATCTCCAATGTTCTATAAGTTCTAGTTCTACATCGATAATTCTGACTCAAACAGCTCTGATACCCTGTATCGAGGATAGTGGTAGCAGAACAGGAGGCTCGGCAGTGCAGTGATTGGTATGCACCTCTGGAAAGCGCGAGATGCGGGTTCGATCCCCGGTTGAAATTCAGAGTGCTGTGTCTCACTCAGCATTATTGGATATGTAGTTACAACACCATGACACTGCTATTAGATCGGTAAAACGACAGAAATGTTATAGTTTTAGTTCAAAACATGTTTGAATCTGAAGAAAAAACCTCTTCTAAAACTCATGTACACAGTTAAACTGACAGAACAGAGTCTCTTCTATAAATTAGTGCCATCTTCAATTTCCTCAAATACTCTAATAATCGAAAAATACTATTATAAGTCGTCAAAAAACGGGCTTAAGTAAACTAATCGAAGACAAAACTCACTTTGACATACCTGAAATGGCTTATAACAGCCTTTATCCATAAAAGGGAATAGGTATGGAGTTTGAGAATTTTAACTAATGATGTCTTTATGCTGAAGCCTCTGAAAGCGATGTTACAGTGTTGTGATCATATGTTCGAGGACGTTGAGTGGTATGCAAAACATTCGACATCAAGCGGAAGTTGAACCCGTGTTTCACCCATGCCATGAGCGTGTGTTACCATTATACCACAGATGCCATCGCCTTGCTATCACCTTTCGTCACTCAATACTATGATAACCACATTGTATGAATTCAAGAATATAGTGTATGATGATTTACGCTCAACTGATACTCAAAAAAACCATACGTGATAATTTTCTATCTCAGTGAAAGCGACACTCATAAGGCTAGCAAAAAGCGGTGAAAATAAAGAATTCTGATATATTCTTATCCGATGTATGTCTTCTTTGATGTGTTCAATGTCGATATGTATATACTAGACCAAAACAATTAAGGGTTGGATCTGCGGTTTCGATAGTTTAGACCGCAGAAAGAGCAAAGCGGTGGTCACCAGTGGTGCAGTGGTTGTGCGTGCATCCGGCATAGAAAAAACGCGGGTTCAACTCTCGAATGGGTCCAAGTATTTTGCATAACACTCAACATTCTTGAATATTTGATCAGAACATCATAGCACTTCTAAACAGGGTAAAAATAAGGAACAAAGAAGAGTTGAAAGAGAAGAGTTAAACAAAGTACTTAAGTAGAAATTAATTGAGTAGACTACCTTCACAACAAACAACGCTGTGTATAGCGTGTGAGAGAATGAGCTACTAAGTACATTACATTTAATGAGCACAGTTGTGAAAGAATGATAGTACATATATTACACTACGGACGTAATAGTACACATTATATATATATATATATATATTATATATGTATAATATATATGTATATATACAATTATATGTACACATGTATGTATATACACATGTAAATACACAAACGAGCATACATACAGATGTCTATGTACGCACATGTATGTATGTCCACTTACATATGTCAAACTGCTAGAAGCGATAAAATTATAAAATACACGCGTATGGAGATACATATGTACAAAGCTAGAAAGGATGAAGCTCTCGGCATTGATCAATCCTTGAGGGATGTGCCATGCATTCGTCTTCAATTTTTAACTTCGTTTGAGGTGATTGCATGCAAATCTGGTCTTTACAATGACTCGCGGTGGCCTCCCGGTGTACCGAGTCAGTGCTGCTTACCCTCCCAGATAAGTTTGAGACCAGTCTCGTACCAATTTCCCGACCCCGGAGGGATGCATGGCTTGGTGAGCCATGAGCGCGAGATCGGACTATTGACCTTGTGTGCGACGAGAGCACTAACCACTGCGCCACATGCGCTCATATATATATATATATATATATATATATATACATATATATATATACATGTACCTGTGCAGATATACACATATATGTATGCATATTAACATATATTGTAAGTAGATACGTTCACATATATACATATACATGTACGCATACGTATGTATACTTACGCATATATTCCAATAGCTGTCAACAACCAGGTTTGATGCCGGTATGTGCTTACCGGATCAAACCATTAACGGTTTGTTGCTGGCAGCTCGGATACGTTGCAATGCAAAAGTGACAGCAAAACAGGGTCACCGGTAATGTATAGGTCAGCAGGTGTCCTCGGAAAGAGTGAAACGAGCATTCAACCCCCACCCGAGGTACAAAATTTTGCGTATCACTAAACACTATTGGATGTACAGGTACAGTTGAAGTTCTAAACAGTTATTGTACAACCAGAACTCTTTATGTCAACACTTTCAGCGGTAGTACCTTGTTACGAACATGAATCCAATATTTTTGAGTGATGTTCAAACCTAAACGTTGGACGCGATTCGAACCCATATTTCACTCTTTGCGGGAGCGCGTACTAACCATTGCACTGCCAACGCTCGTTCTGTCATCGCTTTTTCTACCACACATTTGTATCGATCTGTCAGCAACCAACCGTCAACGGTTTGGAATACAAGCCAATATCGGCACTGAAACCAGTCACACCGACATATAGTGGTTATGTGCCAAAGTTTGGCACATCACTCAACAATACGGGATATATTGCCTTTATACCGAAGTTAAAAATGTTAAAAACCCAAAAAACGACACCTGAAACCAAGTGTCATTTCGGTATACGATGAAAGCAGCAGGGCAACAGTTTCCTTGGACGTTTTTATTAACATGACCATGACCAATATAAAGCAACAAATAAAGATTGCATTGACAAAACGAGAGGAAGTAACAAAGCAGCAGATGTCATATGGAAATGCCTAGAGGCTGTAGACCGATCGCTAGAACATCACAGTAGCTTCGTCTTTGTGTTCACGATTACGATGATTTTGGGTGGCTCAAACAAAAACTAGATATGAATGTTATAAACGGTCAACACACGTCCCATGAAAAAGTATAACGCAGGCTCAACTTCCGCTCGAGGCTCGGAGTTTTCCATGGCACTCAATATCATTGGACATATAGTTATAAGGTCATACTGCAACTAGAATCGCTTAAATGAAAGATTCTTGTCGAGTACGAGAAATAGTATATTTCCACTTTCACGATCCATCACTACATGTCAAGACAGACATCCTGGTATTATATCATTATCAATTACTTCAAGACTTAAACTGCTCGTAATCTAGACTTGTTAGAAATATTGCTTGGATTCCAACAAAAACTCGAACTGATTGGTAGCTTGTTTCTTGGGCTTAAGAGCGACATTTCTTATTCTGAATCTTTGAAAATCTTCCTAGACATTTCGTAAATTGCCACCTGTTGACAGCTGATCACTGGTTTGTTGCACAAATGGTAGTGCTCCAACCGTAGCTTCATATAAAATGAACAGTTAGAACATCGGATTACATTTGAAATGTTGGATTTATGCAGTGGTCTAAAACTTTTTTCCATGAGGAATATTCAAAATGATATAAGCTAAAGAGTGCGCAATTCTTTTATCTTCAGAATTGCGCCATTCACTAACTCAGCCAGGTATCCCAGGACATATCTTTCGTTTCGAGTGTTCTGAGACCACAGCTCAAATTTATCGGGCTCTATAAGTCAGCCCTCTTTGACAGACCACTGACACGCGTGGCTCAAAAGTAATTACCAGGCATATCCCAGGACTGAATGCATATTTGCCCTAAATAAATAACTTGCAACACGATGGTCTACTGATACAGCAAGTGAAAATTTTCATCCTCCCGCACAAATCTGCTAGCAGTGTGACCAACTTGACTACTTTAGTCGCGGGACAGAACCGAAAAAATTCTCATCGCGCTGAACCTCTCAACGCTATGCTATATGGATCTATCATGGACTAATATTTGAACACGAAATTCACAACGATGCGTTTTCTGAAATAAGTTCAATAAAAATTCCTAGAGCTTAGTATCGCAACAAAACATGTAAGCCAAAGATGTAATACATAAATCGATTTGAAATGGCGTAAGGCTAGTTTAGATAGTATAACCAAGACTACAGACCTACCACATTGATCCATAAACTTAAAATCGGAAAGGCTGACGTGAACAACTCAAAATGTCGTCAAAAACGAAGAAAGGCCGTAATCTTGGTGAATTTCACGCATTGCCTGGGCTGCTGCTCTCTGAGGATTACGCGTTCTTTATGTCGCGAAATGTTGATCGAGACAATTCATCTGATAATCTAAGAGGTAGCCGGGCTAAGGGTTTGTTTGGTGGTGCAGCTGACTGATTGCAAGAGAATGTTGGTGGGGGTAGCGGGAGATGGAACTAGCGTCGTGCACATCATCTTGCTTCTTCATAAACTGCATTACTAAACACTGCGCTAATTGGATTCCGATATTGGTTGTATTCTTAAGAGTAATGAAAAGAAAATTAGATACCAATGATCATAGTTGATCGGATGCAAGACGGGTTATGCGCCCCGAAATTGTAAGGAAGCATCTGCTTTTCTTATGGTCATTCGTATATAGTATGCGAGTGGTTCGCATTCACTATAGAGGATAAAAAGTAAATAGACATGATGGATCTGATGCAAAACTGTCGAACACTTACTACACATTTTCCAGATTCTTTGTTATTGTTGAAAAAATCAGGAAGAGATTGCCATAACCGAAAGAAAAAGTGAATGAAAATGAGATTATCGACAATCGATTTATAATCATAATATCGTGATCGCAGCGCGGGTGGCGCAAAGATTAGAAGTGATCTGCAACACATTGGTGATCGACCAATCAATCGTCAATGGTTCTATTTTGCGCTCGAAGCCCACTAAGGTTTCCATCCTTCCAAGCTCAGTAACTTGGTATCAGACTTCTTTGGGGGGATAGCACCACCGACTTGATACATCGGGAGAGGTTCTTGCTGATTAGGAGGGGGTAAATGAAAAACCGATCTCAATCGCTGGAGAGCAACTTTTCATAGGAGTGTTAGCAACTATTTGAAAGCTGAGGCTTGAGACTACAGCCCCACCTCGCCGGTTTTTGAAAAAGACTTTTCTGATGTTGCTACAAGATATTTGTTGGCTTCGGACACGCATGTTTCTCGTCGGACAGAGCGTGTTCTTTGGACCATTAGTAATCACTGGGTAGCGTAGTCGAATTAGATTCCAACGCTGTGCTTATATCCTGATAAGACCGTTTCTCTGAAACACAGCAAAAATAAGCTGCAACTCACGTGGGAGCAACGCGGTCCTGTGCGAATTCACGCGGGCGCTGGCGAAAGCGTACAGTGAACTGTGACGTGATGATCGATTTTCAAGCCTATGAACGCGTAAAGAAGTATCGCGTCAGCAGTTCACGTGGCCGTCATACCACCGTCACGTGAACTGGCCTTAGATCGTCTTTTGTCACACATCGTATTCAATTTATTTCACCTCTTCGTCGTTAAATCTTACGCTATCAAAAGATTAATAATAGTCTAGAGAAAGAGCTCTGTCGTGAGAAAAATATGCGTGTGTGAAACACAAATGTTTTCCTCTGCTACAGCGAGATAATAAGGCGTTCTCAAAAAACAACCACGTAGCGCAGTAGCTAGAAATTCACGCTTTCAATTGATTACTAACACTCTTATAAAAAGTTCTTGCCCAACGAAAGCGATCGATTTTTCATTCCGTGTTACCAAACGGAAAACTACCAAAATTAACAACTGTAGGTGACATGGGCATGACGTCACTGAAGGATAGAAGAAAACTACATGCCGAAGAGAAACAAGAAAGAAGGCGGGACATGAACATACCTGGCTGTGAAGCCACATAAGCGTCTTACTCCAGAGGACTTCGAGGTCCTCGATTTTCGTATTTGATAGCATCGTTTGCTGTTTCTACCAAGAAAAGCTGAAAGATCATAGATATCTACTGTATCAAAATTAATATAATAAAGAGACTGAAAAAAAGAGAGATAAAAAGAAAGTAAGAGAAAAGAAAAAAGCGGATAAAAAAGATAGTGACAAAGAAATGAACAGAAAAGAAAGAGGAGAGAAAGAACAGAAGAAAGGAGAGAAAAGAGCGAGAAAAAAGGGGAGAGGAGAAAAGAACGGGGAGAAAAGAGAAGGAAGAGAGAGAGAAGAAAAGACAGGAGGAAAGAAAGAGAGAAGAGGGAGAGGAAGGAAAAAAACCTAGCAGTCCTAGGGAGCAAACTGCCAGGACACGACTCGCGTAGATCTTTCGGGCACGTCAAACCGCGTCCAAATTCGAATGCGCGAAGGTAACAAGTATGACCCACGGACGTTCTCAGTAGTTCAACTATTCTCAATGGAGCGAGAAATTCAGTATTCACTAGATGAGGAAGTGTCCTCGCCCTCAATTTATTCTCAGATCCCGTCGAGTCTGCTTTCCTGAAAATTCGTCTTGGTTTGAAAGGTGTCTCATTTTTTTTCCAGAATTCATACTCTTTGTTAGATCTCTGACAGATGTTGCGAGCCATAATTCAACGCTGTCCAGCCGCCTCAAGATCTTTTGGTAGCTCTTCTTGGCGGACAGAAGTGAGCACAATCGGTTTCCATGCTTCTCGAGGTTAAACCACTTTTTTTTTCGAAAAAGAGTCGTTCTAGAGATGTTGTGGGACGATATTATGCGGGAACTTTGTCTCTGAGATCACGCAAAAGCGCGGCATAATCTTCAAAATGGGCAACGAAACACCGACGCGAGTCGTCGGATATTATGTTGTGTAAGTTGGTGATCTTCTGTTTTTGCTGATTATTCTATCAGATATCCATTGCGATATCTATGAATATCTATATCTGTAGATTAACGAGCGCATGCGGCGCAGTGGTTAGAGGTGCTCTGCGTCGCACACGAGGTCAATGGATCGATCTTGCGCTCATGGTTCACCAAGCCATCCATCCCTCCGGGGTCGGTAAATTGGTACCAGACTGGTCCCAGGCTTGTCTGGGAGGATTAGCAGCACTGACTCGGTTCAGCGGGAGGCCACCGCGAGTCATTGTAAAGGCCAGATGTGCACTCAATCACCTCAAACGAAGTTAAAAATTGAAGTCGAATGCATGGCGCACCCCTCAGCGATTGATCAACGCCAAGAGCTTTATCCTTTATCCTTTTATCTATCAGATAGAAAGGTCTGGTCAGCCATCATTTTCGTATTTTGCAGATTTCCTCATATTCCCGATGAAACGGCGGAAAACAATAGTTTCATGCATAACATCGCTTCGGGTGCTGATTGGCCGACACTGTCCACATCTACGCCTAAAGTGAGTCTGCGAGAAAATCCTTCTTTATTTCAATTTTATTTATTCATTTGTTTATTTACACGACTATCATCACAGTTTCTATTGTGCCGAGCCCAGCAGTCTAGTATTCGACTCGTTTTCCATCTCGTTCTTGAATGACGTAGAATAGTAGTCGAGCCATGTGTCCTTGCAATCCCGAGGACGGCCTGGCTGTGGCGTTCCATAAGACGTTCTCGCTG